GATAATCGATTATCATATGTGATAATCGATTATTTGCGAGAGTTTTGAAGAGGATACAACTCTCTGACTAAAATAATCGATTATCAAGTGAGATAATCGATTATTCTTATCAGTTTTTGACATCAACGTGATTTTTCTGGTTTTGGTGCATCTTAGACATATCCAAATGAACAAATTAAAATCTGTAACTCTAATATTGATATGAAACATGTTTATAGATGAAAGTAAAGCCTTGCATTGGTCATTTGGATAAGAATTAGATGTACTAAACCAACTCAATTTCTACTCCAAAACATCTAACTCAATAACTAGAGGACCCCAAACCCAATTTTATTAACTCAGGACCCAATTTCAATCCTACCATGTTGCTAATGGCTTTGCTCAATTTTATGATCCTAACCAGTTCTAATAGACTCATATCAGCCAGCCCCCACTGTCCAATTTCACTCAAGACTCCCTAGGCTCAAATCCTCTACCTCAGATCCTCTCAAAAGGCATAAAACATTACTCTCTTAACCCTTTACTCTTCTCGCAAGACCAACTCATCACTTCCATTCCAACCACTTTTTACTACCCAGTTGGTCAACGGAGAAGAATCAGACGTCTGAACGCATCAGTCTCACCTTCGACGCCAACACATATGACTAGTCACAACGTACTGGACCAGGCCAGGGCTGCTCTATGATCAGGGATGTGCCAACTCAGGTTTTTAAGATTCCTCTATCCTACCAACATAGTACTCTGAACAGGTCCCAATTCAGTAACCTAAGTTATCCAAACTGCCCTATAGTGTTTTAGACTCTACTTGCCCCATTTCCCTTATCTCACTTCCCTTTACCGTAAGCTAACACAGTACCTGCACACCTATTTATTAACCCCAAGACCAACATTACATACTCCAGTCCTCTCCAACAACAGTCAATACAACCAACAAATATATCCAGGTAAAATCAACATCAGTACAACATGATCACACAATTTCTTCATTTTCAACCAACACAATTTAAACATGTTCAGCACCAAAACAACATAACAGTAAAAAGCAAAATAAATCAGACAAGCATATCATACATCATCTAAAATTGTAACTAGCTCCCCTTACCTTGAAGTTGAGCAGTACAACCAGCTATAGTGCCCTAACAGTGCCTTCACAGTGAAGACCCAAACAGTGCCCTACAACCACCTAAATGGTAAGGAAAACAGCTCTTAGAGCTAGAATAGACAGAGAATGAAATAAAAGAGCACCACTAGTTGCATAGAACCAATAAAGTTGCATGCCCTAGGGTCAAGAAAAGGGAAAAATTGACTTACCCGCTCAAATGGAAATTTAATCGGATGGAGGGGAAGCTCTCAACTCCGTGAGCGAAAGGACACCACCTATTCGAAATTTCAACGGTGGACAGTGGTGGAAAGGTAGAGAGAAGTCAGAGCAAGAAGAAGAATGAAATGAAGATGAGTCTAGAGAGAGAAAGGGAGACTGAAATTAGTTCAGAGTTGGAGAATGAAGGGACTCCTTCTAAGTTTCAGGGTGCCTTTGGCCTTTTGGGCCTGGCTGCCTCAAGAAATAGGGCCCCGTAGCCCATAAAATTCTCAGGACCTTACACACGTCATGTCTTATAGTATCACAATACATATTCATCTCTTTTATGCTTTTTATGAAATAATATTATTATTTATTTAAAAATATATATTGCCTAAAAATTCAATAAAAATAAAGAAAATTTTAAATTTAAATATAAATTAATTTTTTTATAAAAGATAATTTTTTTACAAAAAGATATCATTGTTATAAATAAATTAAGAAGAGTGAGTTACACGTTTAAAAGATAAAAGAGATGAATGTATTTCTATTACAAATAGAAAGAAAGTAAATGTCTATATTAAAAGTGGAGAGATGTAGGTGTCTAATATACTTATTGGAAGTAAATGTAATTTCAAAAAAATTTAATGTTAAAAGAATTAAATTATAAAATAATAAAATTCATAAATAGTAATAACAATAAAATGAAAAATGTATAACAATAAAAGAAAGTAAGAACGAGAGGTCTTGAAAACTTCATTTTAGGCCATTTTTGAATTAAATTTATGAGATAATTACTTTTTTTTTATTCTGAAAGCAGCAATTTTTTTTCTTTGTTTGTTTGATGCAAAGAAATTGTTATTTTATATAGAATTTCTGAGCTGTATACTTTCTAAACTTTTATTCTGAAAGCAACAAGTCTATGTTCATATTTATTTTTTAAATTATGTTAAGGTAAAACTGAAAAAAAAAAAACTCCTTCGGGATTTAAGAATTTATCAGGGTCTTTCCAATTTCATTCACTGAAGTTTGGAACTTCTGAAAATGGCAAAAAATAATAGTAAATTTTCATTATTTTTAATTACTTTTATTTTGAATTTTATGATTTACTTTCAACGTAAAAATCATCCAAAACAGTACAAATAAATTCTTTTGTGAGTTTCGCAATAATGCATTCACTTTCAACCTTGAAATAACTTGTTTTGTACTTGTTATTTTTGTTTATTTGAATGAATTTGGAAGACAAAGTAAATTTTTGTTATTTATTTAAGTGAATTTGAAAATAAATAAGAGTGAATTTGAAAATAAATTTTTTTAATCTGTCACATCAATCAAATCTTACATTAATTTTCACACATTTTATTTCCAAATCCATTCTCACTTACTTCTAAATTCATTCAAATAAACAACAAAAAAATTTACCTTCAAATTCATTCAAACACTCTTCTCCAAATTCATTCATGTGAATAAAATCTAAAAGTCTAGAAGATTCTTCAAACGCTCCATTGGTCATTATTTACTTATTTTGGAATGGGTTTTTGAGAATACTTTTTATATTGTAAAAAATTAATTCCGTAACAGCAAGAGATGTTCAAGATTTTTTGTAAAACTGAAAAATAACCCTGAAATTTCTAATGGCTTTGTTTTTGTTAAAGTATGAACTTTTAATAACTTTTAACAGTATATTATATCTTAATATTTTATTAATATATATTTGAAACAGATCAATTATAAATTATATCATAAAAAGAATTGTTAAATTGTTATAAAAAAATTATTGAAAAAACATTTTCCTTAAAGTATAACGGAAAACAAAACCTAAGGCCATTTGCCTCTACACCCTATCAATTGTTTCTTACATCCCATCAGTTTTTGAAAAATGACCAATTAAGTTTTTCGAATTTTAAGAATAGACTTTCCATAACGATATAACACTTTTTGGAATGAAATTTTAAGAAAACTTCGAAAAGAGTTTTTCGAATTTCCAAAAAAAATCTCAGGAACGAGTTATTTTAGCATTTTTTTTATTTTATTTTGTTCTTCTTTTGCAGTAGTGGTCCAAAAAAAATATGACAGACTGGTCCAGTGATATTTAAACCACATGTTTTGCTTTTTACACTCTCATTATTGTTTTTGATATTTCAAGATAATTTATTCCCTTTCCATCTTCACTCCCCCTACCTTTTTTCTTGGATTTCATAAAACTAATATTCATTATACACTCTAATATTTTACAAAAGTTAATTTCTGAATATTTTGCATTAAAATATCCATTTCTATAATATTATATTACAGAAAGTTAGTTCCTGAAAAAAAAAAGTTTTAATATAAAAATAGAAAGAAAAAAAGAAGACAAGCATGGCTGTTTCATCCTGACCTCCAATTATTTCATCTTACATCTTCAAATTTCTTTTAAATTCCAAAAATATCTTTATAATTCAAAAACCTCTGAACCCTATTTTTTATATTTTATCAGAGTTCGAAATTTGATAAAAAAAAAATTCTTCATCAAATAGAAAAAATTATAAAATTATATTTTGGAAATTGGAGATACAGAATAAAATAATGGGATAAAATAGCTGACAAACATTAAGAAGAACAAAACTGTTGCAAGCACCCTCTCATAATAGGAGGTTACAGCCTGAGTCAATAATATTTTGCAAAGCAAAGGTTAAGAGTTATTTTTAATGGCTATTAAAAGACAAAAATTTAAAGGATATTACTTTCTACACCCTATCATTCCGAAATTTTATTTTCCTAAACACATTGAAACAAATACTTGTCGGTAGACAATCATCCTACTTTTATTACTGCGGAAATAATTTTTCCGAAAACTTTTGATGGGGTGTACCAAGAAATTTGATTGGGTGCAGGAAATCCTTGCCAAATTGAAATGCACCAAATATAAGAAAATAGAGGCCCAAATGAATGTCTTTTATTTGTTTACTTTTTTTAAAGGGTGTTGCTCCCTCCACCACCACACATTTCTCCCTCCACCTCCCATTTACTATTTTGCCCTTAAGTAAAATTCTTTTAGGGTTATTTTTTAATTTTACCCATTCACAACCTATTCCACTAATAACTTATTCCAGTCCTTCGTATATGAGTAAAATATTTTTCTTTTATTTTAACATTATATTTCTTCCTCTCTTTCTTTTGTCCGTGTGAGATACTACAAGTTGTAAAGGTTGATGGTGGTGGAAAGAATTATCAAGCAGTCTCCCTCTCGTGGTGCAGTGTCGCTCTCGTGGTGCAATGTGTGGAGTGGTGCAGTGCGTGTGTTACTTCCTCAAGGTGAGTATTCGAATAAACCTCCAAATAAAACCCTAAAATAAAAAACGTAACCTTTAAACATAGGTGACATCCTTCAACGGATGTCGAAATCCTTCAACGCAACGGATGTCAACATCCTTCAACGGATGTCAACATCCTTCAACGGATGTCAACATCCGTTTAAGGAAAAAACGGATGTCAACATCCGTTTAAGGAAAAAACGGTTTAAGGAAAAAACGGATCCGTTTTTTCCTTAAACGGATGTTGACATCCGTTTTTCCCTTAAACGGATGTTGACATCTGTTTTTTCCTTAAACGGATGTTGACATCCGTTGAAAGATGTCACCTACGTTTTTAATTTTAGGGTTTGTTTTATTAGTTTATTCTTTATTTTAGAAATATTTTAATAATTTAATTTAAATGTTTTGATTTATTATTTTTGAATATATTTTTAATGTATTTTAATAATGTAAGGAAAATGAAGAAGAAAGAAACAGATGAGGAGAAGTGAAACGAAGAAGACAAATGGAGTTGTAGAGTAAAACTGAAGACAAATTGTTAAACGGAATTGAGAGACGGAAAGATTGAGTGCAGGGAGTAAAGTAGGAGAACTAGGTTTGAAATAAATTAAAATAGTATAAGTAAAAAATTTTAATTTGAGGATATAATTGGAATAAAAAAAATTGGGGAGGTGGAGGGAGAAAGGTGTGGTGGTGGAGGGAGCAACACCCTTTTTTAAATAGAGAGAGAAAGGAAAAACCATATAATTAGTATGCCCAAGATTAATTATCTAGTTCCTCTATAATTAATCTTAGGTTTTACATTTCATCATAGTAATATACAAATTCTGTAGACGAAATTAATCAAATTGAATTGAAGTGTGAAATAATTATATAATATTATTTTGAAAATAATGAACTATTTATATTAAAAACTAAACTAAATCTTTCTGTAATTCGATTCTAAAAAATTGAATATCTAAAATTACACTTTAGTTAACTATTCATTAATTTAAAACTACTTTGTTAATCAAATGAATAGTACATAGGTATATATATGTCGAAAGTGAAGATAAGTTAACCAAACCGAAAAAAATTATTGATTAACTTAAAATCAAAAGTCAAGACGGGTGAGTCAGACCAAAGGTTGAGACAGGAAAACTCAAATCACAATCAAAATTTAGGCGAATTTAACAGAATCAACCATAATCAAAATTTGGTTGAATTCGCCTCAGTCATCCAAATTTGAGTGAGTCAACTTTAACCAAAATTCGTTTGAATTTGACCAATTCGAACCCAGCTGAAATTCAACTGAATTCGGTTGAGTCAGTCCCAACTAAAATTTGGTTAAATTCAACCTATTCGACCACAACCAAAATTTAGTTAAATTTAACCGAGTTGACACCGTTTGAAATTTGGTTGAATTTGATCGACTCGGTCATAACTAGAATTTGATCAAATTTGACCGAGTTGGCTGAAAAAATTATTCTAAACTAATCTTAAATTAAATATACAGAAACTAAATATTTTAGTAAAATTCATTTTGTCCACATGTTTAGAACTGCGTTTTAATAACCAAATTAGAAATGTTTTTAAACATGTTATAACGAAATTCTTATCAAATTTGATTATCGTTTAGTGCGTTTTAGATCAATTTAAATACTTTATTTTTTTTACATGTTTAGATTTTTGTAACAATCAAATTTGAAAGTGCAAAAGTATGGTATTTTTTTTGTTCTGCTTAAGTAAAAAAATAAAAATTGGCAATATATCTTATCAACCAAAGGTTGTTTCCATTGAATCATCGACTTTTATCAAACATATA